TTGGTCCCCCCCCCCCCCCCCCCCCCCCCCCGTTGGCTTTCCCCGATGGATTCTGGAATGTTCAGGTCTTGCTTCCTTGGCGTCGATGGCGCGTAAGACGGATGGAATTGCAAAGAGACGAAAAAGAGAAAAAAATCCAAGTTCTCTCTCTCTTCTTTTCACCTCGTTCGTCGGGAGAATCGGCTTAACCCAACAAATGCCTATATAATTCACGATTTAGACGGCATGTAAGGGAAAATTGAACTCGTGCCGAATGCAATTTTGCATGTTTCCTCAAACTGCACAGCAATCTTGAAACGTACCAGGAGAGGTAAGAGACGTACAAATTGTGTCGGTTGGGTCCTTTCTCAGTACGCATGGGTACTGATCCCCGCATTTTTTTAGTCCATTCACACCAAAATGTTTTTTTTTTTCTTTCGCAGTGGGACGCATTTTGGGGCTGCATGGCGAACGAGTATCAGAACTGTCCCAGCAGCACTTAAGCCAGTTTCGAGCGTCGCAGCTTCGTTTCTTCATTTCGTCCGTGAAACTTTTATTCTTCCAGGCTCTTCTCCCTGAATTATACATTATTCTTTGGCAATGGAAACTACTTGGTTTTATTTTCCGTCAAAATTCGTGCGATTCCTCAAAATGACCGATTCCAGACATTTTCCAGGTTTGGAGGAAAGTTGGAATTGTAGGATGAACTTCAGTGGAAATTTTTCGGACGTTAGGAAGTGAGTTAATCGAACCGTGACGAATGCGGTAGTTGCACTCAGCTTTTCGGTCCGATCCTGTCCCGATACTCTTCGATATTCCAAAAAAAAAAAGAAAAACCCTGAGGCTTGAATGACCGGAACGAAAGGGACTTGCCAAGGGAAACGGGATACGCACGACCAAAAAGTCCCAGTCCCTTCATGCGAGCTGACTGCATGCAGAAATTGGCTTTCGATACGATCCCCTTCGAAATGGCTCCTTCGACTTGCAATGCATTGCTCCCAAAGTTCGTAAAGAGCTTGGAACACTGCCTTCGACCCATTCTTGGCAATCTCCTCGAACGCGTCGGTCGGAGTCGACCGGAGAGCGTCCGTGTCGTCGAAGCGACGGCCTTTCGGAAGGAACTCTTCGTTCAGGGAAACTGCAAGAAGTCACGAGGCGCGAGGTCCGGTGAGTGGGAGAAATGTGGGAGAAATATCACTCGGTTGGAAATTCCATGGTGCTGATTGCCAGCGGTCACCCTTACGAAACGTCCACCTACTAGGTGGATTTGGAACCAGGTGGACGTGCGTATTCCCACCTGTCGAGGCGATATCCACCTGCCTAAAAATCCACCCGGAAGAGAATGGTATCATACGGCGGAAAACCTGAGAAAGGGCTTGCACGGATTCCTCATTCCGGCTCGTCGATGGCCGTCCACCGCGTTCGCCGTCTTCGATGGATTCTCGACCGTCTCGAAATCGGTTGTGCCTCTCGCATGCATCAGGACGAGGAGGGTCACGAGGGCTGGAATCGATCGAAGATGAACGCAGTGGACGACTATCGACAGACCGTGCTGACAAAACCGCTGACTGCCGATGACGGATCGATTCCACGACAGAAACCACGGAAGACCCCAGACGAGGAGGTTGCCGAGAACGGGTTACAGCCAATGTATCCAAGCCAATGTATCCAAGCCGATCCAAGCTCTTTATAAACGTTGGGAGAAGTGCATCGCAAGTAGAGGGTAATCTTTCGAAGAGGATCATACCGAAACCCACCTTTTGGAAATGGTTTTCTCGTACGAAGGCCGGTCCTGGAACTTTTTCGTGGGTCCACGCGCAAAAAGCAGCTTCCTCGCTTTTCCAGCAAATCACGGCTTCTCCCTTTTTCTTTGGCTGAACGTCGCTGAATTCCAGGCTGCATTTTCCCAATTGCAACCGAGACTTTCTCCGCTTTTTTTCTCCGTGCCCGACAGACTCGTGATTTGGGTGAATTTGCTCCGAAAATACGCTCGGCCTTCGACCTCGTCCAGTTAAGAGTTAAATGAGAAACTAACAATACCGGTAGGAAGATAAAAAAAAAAGAATCGAAGGGAAAAATAATGATAGGGATGGACCCGACAATTTCGCATTTCCACGACGGAACACGCACACCGGAACTGCATCGCGTGCAGCATCGAACACCTGCCTCGTCCCGATCATTCCCGACTCCAAACGGCGATGCCCGTCCTTTACTGCAGCTATTCACAGATCAGGGTCGCGAAGGGTCCTCAGAATAAATAAATAGTTTTGGAAAATCCATTGTATTTAACAAGATATTTACGTACATATTTAAATTTCATCATACGCCTGAGGGTCGGGAGGTCCTGTGCCAATTTATTGTCGCAGCTAAAAGCTTTATGGTCTCGGATTTCCGGGAGGGGGAGGGAGGGGTAGAGCGATACGGGGAAAGGTGGGGGGAAAGGTGGGGGGAAAGGTGGGGGGAAAGGTGGAGGGATGCGGGGAGAGGTGAACCGTAGTAGCGGTGGTTCATGTGAATTAGGAAGTGCGTGGGTGGAAGAACAAAAATGAGGATCGCATCACTTCAACCTGGTGGCTCATTATGCAATAATTAAAAAAAAAGCATTTGGTTTTTTTTTGCCATATCTCAGCAGTAAAAGAGGGATTTCGATGACTTGTGCGCCGTGGAAAGGAGAACATGGGATTTCTATGACATGCGATTCATTCATACTGGTTTTCGCTCTGGAGCAATTATTAAAATTCCTAATTTCATATTTTTCGATTCTTTTAATCGCTACGTGGCTCATCTCGGACTCCTACATCATCCGGAAGGATGTCGAGAGAATTGGGCAACTTCATCCGGACAACTTCATCTAGACAACCTCATCCGGACAACCTCATCCGGACAACCTCATCCGGACAACCTCATCCGGACAACCTCATCCGGACAACCTCATCCGGACAACCTCATCCGGACAACCTCATCCGAACGCGGAAGGTTCGATTCAACTGGCAGCAGTGCAAACCGTTAAATTTTATTAACCACGCCTTAACCTCGAGGGCCTTAACCGTGAGGACATGAGCGGACCTTTGAACAGTGACCTTCATTTTCGAAGGCCGCAGTCCAAAAGGACCACTGACAGCAGAAATTTCCCCATTGAAACGCACACAGGATAGAAATATGAAGTTTTTATTGATGCCTCGATTTGTTCATGCAAATCTCTAAAAAAAAAAATTCATTTTTTTCATCCTTTTTTCATTCATCCGTTGAAATCCATCATTCCATTGTCGAGCGAGGGAGTACATGTGTCGGGCGATTTTTTTTACTTTTCTCATTCCATTGAGCCCCACCCAAAAGGGAAACCGCGAACAATGCGCCTCGTGAAAGCGCCTTCATTAGCGATTCAGACGCTCATTTATAACTTCCTCTCGACGCGTGAGCTCCTTTTGTTTCTTCTGTGCAGGAAAACGAACCCACTTGGCCTCTTTTTCATCAGCTTTATTGCGCGGAAAGATTCGAAAACATCGTGGGAGAGGAATTTTTTGCTCAACCGCTCCCATCCCCAACATATTGTAGCAAACATGAAATGTGGATATATGGGCGCCAACTCTCGGATGATTACGTAGCCAGCACGTGTGTTCGGCATGTCTTATCCCCAAATTCTTTGCAGCGATCACAAATGACCCAACTTTATGGTCTCCTCCCCGGTATAAAAACCCCCGTCTTCAGTTCGAGGGGAGGCAGTCAGTCGCTTGCACGACTCAGGCAGCTAGAGCAAGAAGCTCTCTCTCTAAGCTTTTGAGCCTGCCAGAGTCTGCGACCGGACGACTCCTCCAGACCTCGGTTGACCCGATTCCATTCGTGGATCCACCCATAAAGGAAGTGGAACGGCTCAGAAGGCGCTGCTCCATCTGCGAGTAAACGGCCGCCAATCTGTCCGCGGGTCACGAACCTCGAGCTCTGTCGACACCGATGTACGTACCACCTGCTCGGTTTGACCTAAGCTCGAAACTCGAGCCAGGACGTACTACGACGGTGTAGGATCCACGACTCCGAACGACTCCTTCAGGACCTTGGTGCCTCCAGAATTCCAGTTGTTAATCGACTGGTCGGCTCGGTTTGATCCAAACCTCGAGCGGGAGTGCTACCGGATTGTAGCACCGGTGATCCCTTTCCTTACGGATAGGAAGGCCTCTGGACCTTGGTGTCTCCAGACGGTAGAATTTCCACGGTTAATCGACTCCTAATTGGAATGGACGCCAGGTCTGAAAGGATTAAGGTAACGGTCCTTTGAGAGTCCATTGACTGCTTTGGGGGGAAAAAAGAGCTCTCGAGTCTAAAGGCACCTTTGTATCGCCTGAATGAGGTTTCAGCATTCGGGCCAAAGCCCTTTAAACCAACTGCCACTCAAGGGCGCCCGAGCCCGTCAATTTGGACCTTAAGGTGGAATGCTGCTGGCCGCACAAGTGGAACCTGAGAGCTTTTCAAGGGGAATTTCAACCTCGTCGTCTCTTGACAGGCGAAGGGTCACAGGGAATCCGTCCATCTTCTGTCCCATCTGCAAAGGTTCCATGCCGGATTCTCTGCCATCTTTCCAGGATTTATGGCGGGAAGAGTGCCTGAGGTGGCATGTACTCATCATGGTATTTAGCCAGTAAGCCTACTGTTCGGGTGCTCCGTGTCAAATATTAGGAGGCCTTGGTACTGATTCAGTACTGGCAACGAATTGTAAGTTGTTACAAGGAGTTAAGGCATCGGTTCATCTCGCATAATTAAAATTTAATTACCCAATTTAATTGGCTGTGATCTCCTGCATCTATAGATGGTGAACTTGAATAAAAGTTTCATCGTCATTACGGCACCTGCGGAGGCTAGGCAGGAAGGGTTATTCACATCCGAGTAACTGCGAATGGGGAGAGGGCCAATTCTTAATCCTTCAAGAATGGATGGATCGAGCCGGATGGCCGGATGTGAGTAGGAGGGATTTTTAACTGGGTATCAAGAGTATCCGTATACTTAAGAGGCTAATCTGTCAGTGTGGGTGCCAGTGCGTCATTCTGGGAAACTCCCCTAAGACCAGGGACCAGGAACAGTTTTGGCCATGTGAGCCAAACTAAGATTGAACGAAGTGCTCGTGAGCCAATGATTTTCAAACGAATGGTATCTTTTATTTCTTAAAAAATTCCTCGGAATATTGGTATTAAAAAATGTCCTCTTCTACAGTCTGCGAGCCAAATTCTTTTTTCTCGTGAGCCAAATTTGGCTCATGAGTCGCAGGTTCCCGACCCCTGCCCAAGACGGATGAACGGATTTTCAGGAGTGAGATGTCAATCGAAAGAGAACAGTAGAGTCGTTAAAACGTTTCGTGCAGCATTTAATTTCGCACAAGCGTTTTGTCGAGCGAAGATGGTAGTTGGTCGGGGTTCGATAGGGGGGAAGTGCATGTCGGCGGTCAGGATTTCTCAAGAGGAAGGCACCATATTTGGCAGTGAAGATGGAGCTGCCTTTCCTGCCGAGAAGGTTTGAGAGAGGCAAGGGCTGTCTCGTGTCATGAGTAACTGCTACTCGGGATGAGACGCGGCGTCTCATCCCGAGTAGCAGTTACTCATGACACGCTTCTCAATCATTTCGAGAGAATGCATTTGAGAGGCAGTCAGGGATGAGTGCCGTAAGGAGGCAGCTTACTCCGGGACGGGGCGGATATGAATCCAGGACAAAATGGCCCCGGACGTTTTGGTCCCAAATGAGAAATAGGACAAAATGGTCCCTGCGGTAAAAAGTGTCAGATGACAGTTCCTCGAGAGTTAACGATCATTTTAATAATTGCGTCATCTACTCATGACTACCTTCTAAAATTAAGTTCTGTATTATCTCGAAGCTTGAATGCTTTGGAGCTACGATTCGAGATGTTTATTTTCATCGCATCATCATATGTTATTGCAGTACTAAAAAAGTCCAATCCAATCGAAATGCGTCAGTCATCTCCCAAAACTTCGTAAAGCAGAGTCAGGGAAGGGGTGAAACGTCATAGAGATGATTGTCTGAGCAGGGGGGAGGGGAGGGGGGGGGGGGTTGCACCATATTGCGTTCCCTAGGGGGAAGGAGGCGTTGTGGGTCTTCATACCACCGGCCCATACCCGTTAGAATGAGGTTTAGGGTTGTGTCTTTGCCATGCGTCCTCCTGTCTGTCTGCGCATCGGAGGCCTGCACGGGTCTCACTTTGTCGAGTTGAAACTCGATCGACACGATTCGAATCGTGGCCCGCACCCGACCCAGAACTCGATCGCCGACCGAGGCTGATCCGAGCCGCGAATCGAGTTGGGCTCATCTGGCCGGCCTAACCCCCTCTTTGGTCACTAAGCTTGAGAACCCGAGGTCTCTAATGAAATATTAGCCCCAAGGGGCGTCGAAGAGACCCCTTGCAAATCTGCACAGAAACGCTTTTTTTGTGTGGAACGGCTCGCAATGAAGGGCATGTTGTGAAAGAACACAGGGTGGCGAAGGGTTCCTATGACACGGGAAACCGTGCAAGCCAGTTATATAGCGAAAGATGAAACTTATGAAATTACCCTGCATTGGATAGTAAAAGGTTTTCTTAGGGATGGGTTGCGTGAATTCCATGTCCGGCCATCTCTCATCCACATACGATATGTAATATCGTATGTGGATGTGGACACAAGAGGCTAATCTGTCCGTGCATTCCGGGACTCTCCTCCTAGAGTGATGAACGCATTTTCCTGAGCGAGATTTCAATCGAAAGCTTACGATTTGGAGGCGATGCTGATCGATTCAAAAGTCCAAAAAGTATCACCATCTTGACGTTACTGGGCGAAAGAGCCTAATTTCTGCGATAAGAATAGCATTGTATGAATGCCTTCCCGGGCGAAGTGCTCACAACCATCAATTGTCGGAGACAGACGTCGTTGCTGTGGCAACTGGCAATACTCTTCATGTGTCATAATTTTGCCGCGTTACCGATCCCGTCCTCGGTTTGCGACAGTACTTCACGCAAGTCCCCAAGCCAAGCAAAAGGTGGAGAAGTTGAAACTCTTCTACGGCGAGACCCACTGAACGCGCGAGAAAAGAGAGACGTTCTGGAGCGACAGTCAGCGGACGGAAGAGCTGATTGGCATGCAGGGACAACGAAAACCAACTGAGAAAGAGAGAGAGAGAGAGAGAGAGAACGGAAAGGCTTGCGTAAAATACTTTGATTCGACTTACTTGACATGGGCTTTCCCACCGGTAGGATATAGTGAAGAAGTTTGGGCCGAGGCAGTTCCTGAGGGCCGGTAATCCTTCAGAGCGTTCCAAATCCTACCCTTAAGAAGCATCCAGGCACTTTTTAAAATTATTATTGCAAACTGGACTGAGGGTTCAACAATACAAAGTTGTTCCCAAGCATCCGAATATTATCCTTCTCATGGGACTAATCTTTCTTCGACGTCCTATTTTCCTTATTTTCCCGAAAAACTAAATGATGAAATGTGAGATCGATGTGGTCTGTCGCATCCACTGACGTCATGGCTGCCATTAGATGCGCATCGACAGTTAAAATAAAAAGGTCCACGGGCTCGATCCATCGCTGGACGAGGTCACCTGACATCTAGCACTTATCAGAGCAAACAAGGATTCCAAGACAGAACGACGATGTCGGACGAATCGCTTTTGTAACTTGTCCTTGGAGAGCGAGTGGATTGCTCGCGAAAGATTCCGCATTGTTTAAATGGAAATGAGCTGACCGAGCTCAGACCAGTGGTTCCTTTCGGGGACCGTTGGGTACAGGAGGGGGATGTCGATGGGAGGTTGGGGAATGGGATGGAAGTACGACGCGGGTACTGAGTATGGTACTGCACGAGTCGAGTCAGAAACCGTCTCCGCTGCCACGTACTGCCCCTACTTCCGTTAACGATGAAACCTTGACCTTGAACGACTGGAAGGGAACTAAGACCTCCGGCTGGTGACGTGACATCCCAATCAAAGCTGAGCGGTGCGCATGCGCTTTGAGGTCGGGTTCCGGTGGAGCTGATGGTCGCTCGTGCCTTTCCTGCCGTGAGCAGATCATTAATAGAAAATTAACAATGAATATTTTGTTCTGATATGAATCGTTCCAAGAAGCGAACATGACCGTGAAATTGTCCATGTCGATCTGCATAATTATAACCTCTGACCTCTTTGCGTACGAGGCATTGTCGGCAACGGACGTTGTTACCGTAGCAACTGCTGGCAATCTTCACGTGTCATACTTTTGTCGTGTTACCAGTCCCGGCGTCGGTTTACCACAATGCTTCGTTCAGTTGATTTTCTATACTGCTATTTTGAATGTTGGTGGTGCTCTCAAAATGCCACGAAATAGGCGGAGACGTTTAAACGATTCCGCGGCGCGATCTACTGAGCGTAAGAGGAAGAGAGACGTTCTGGATTCAGTCGATAAAAGAGCAGAAAGGCGTGCAGCAAATGCTAATTTCACTCCTTGTGTGGATGGGCTTTTATATGTTTTTACACAAGTAAAAACATATAATCGTAAATTGGAATGCTTAGCGTACATGTCAGTTAGCCCATGTCGATGAAGGGCTGGAGCGAGTTGGATGAAATTGCACTTGAAGATATTGCCGAGGGTCGCTCACTTTTTCCTCGCTTTTTTTTTTTTGCAGGCTTTCAGAGTCTAACAATCAACGAAGACTTAAAAGTAAAAGGCGCTTAAGGGAAGAAAAAAAAAAGAAAAAAGGAATCCGGTGCGATCAGCGGCTCCTCCTCCTCCTTCGCTTTTTCCGTCGTTCGGAGAGTTTTTCTCTCATTCCTTCCAACTTTTCCCTTTTCGCTTCTAAAAATATCGTCGAGTTCGTCGTTGAGAGTTCCTCTCGTTCTACACGATTCCGTTCCAAGAAATCGATTCACCGATCGTCAATTAAGGTTTCAATGGC